GGAATAGAACTTAGCTGTTTTCATTTTTGACAGCGATAATGATCCCTTTAAAGTAGCACCTTTCCTGTTAGAGCCGCTGAACCTCAGCCAGGTCGAGTACAGAGGTGTGTTAAGTTACAGAATGACTGAAAGGTGATGTACATCATCTGGATTGCACTGATCAATGGAGGCAAGTGAACTGTTCTGTAGTAAGATCTTCCTAACGAAGATATGATACCATCCTAGAAGTGATTTTTAGGGTGTTTGTAAGTAAAAAACAAAGATTGTTTTTACAGCTTCCTGAGGAAGCTGTAGTCTTCCGAGGCTTTGAAGCAGCCTAAATTCTTGCTCAGGAAATTTCCCTCAGGGTTTCTTTTGGATACTGTTACTCATTTCTGTGTCCTAAGATGCTGTATAGAGTTATTTGCATTATTAATCACATGCTGGGTTTCAGTAATGGTGTGCAATCTTTATATTGCTTAATCACCTCTCAGAGTGTCTTGCTTTTTGAAAGGTTCTTTTCTTAATATGCTTTGCTATTTGCAGACCAGAAGTGTGATTTTTCTAGTCTGTTAAATGCTCTCACCTGTTCTTTAACTAATGCATCTATTAAATATTTTCCCCACTGTTGCCTTCAAGTTGATTAAAGGTCTGCCTGTTTTAATCAAGAAAAAGCTAAAATGCAATTTTAAAAGGCTAGTAATTTGTAAGCTAGCATATGGTAGCATGTGTGCTGCTCTGCAATAATGATAAAAGCTGGAGAAGCCTTCTCCTAACAAAGTCTTAATGGCAGTCATAACTAAGGAGGTTTGAAGTACCAAAAATGCAAAGTAGTTCCAGACAATTGAATAAGCAGAGAGATACTGTGTTTTCCTGTGTTTATAAAATACATTAATCAATTGGTATGTGTTTAAGGCTACTATTCTCTTCCCCTTTAGGTTTTAAAGACCAGATTGGCTGTGGGTAAAACAGGGCAGTATTCTGGGATGTTTGACTGTGCTAAGAAGATCTTAAAAAGAGAAGGTGTAAAGGCCTTCTACAAAGGTTATATTCCTAATATTCTGGGTATAATTCCTTACGCTGGCATTGACCTTGCAGTTTATGAGGTGAGTTTAGATCACAAAATACACTATGTTCATATTAAGGGTAAAGTTGTCTTCAATTTAAGCAAATGAGAATTTCCACTAATCTTAGCAGACTTAACACAAATATCACATCAGGTTTTTATGTTACCTATCCTGCATTTATGATACATAATACATTTTTTTTTGCCTTTTTCTTGGATTTATAATTGGATTATAGTAAACTGTGTGTCTGTGCATGTCACCTGGTTTTTTTGTGGCTGACATATAGTTGTGAGGAGTTTAAAACACAGCTCTTTCCTTTCAAGAGAAGCTGTCACCTCTTCTACCCATCAGCAACAATTGAAACGTTTTCTCCACCTTAGATGCAAGGTCTTTCTTCCAAGTGTGTTCAGTAACTCAGATACGCAGGCTAATTTTTTTTGTAGCCTAGACAAATCTTTTTGTGACGCTGCAGTAGTAATCAGCAGAATTGCTTGAGCAAATGCTTTCAAAACAGTATGGAAGTACTTTTCTGCAGTTTGCATCCTTGTTTCTGCTTGGGGTGATGTGCACAGCTTGCCAGCTGTTGTTTCGCCCTGTGGAGTGCTGAGTTGTGTTTTCCTCCTCCTGCTCCCTCCCAAAGTATTAACAGGGCTAAAACATGGGCACTGCTCCTATTGCTGTGGCTTTTATGGGTATATCTTCTAGGTATTAACTATGGTAGTCTGCGTAAAGTCCTTCCACTTGTGCTAAGGTGTTTACCTGTGCACTTTAAAAGTAAGCATGTAGGACTGGTGGAGCAAGATTGGTGCTTTTCACAATTGACCTCTTAAGATTTGTTATGAGTAAAGATGCATTGATTTGTTTTCTTGAACGCAATTCTCTTGTCTTATTATTTAATTTTATCTCTTGACAGCTCTTGAAGAGCACATGGCTAGAACACTATGCATCAAGCTCTGCGAACCCAGGGGTTTTTGTATTGTTGGGATGTGGTACCGTTTCCAGCACATGTGGGCAGTTGGCCAGTTACCCTCTTGCTCTTATCAGAACACGCATGCAGGCACAAGGTGAGTCCTGTTGTACTGAAAATGTTTCTGTGTGGTCACACCAGAATTGTATAATTTGAGGTAGCTGTGGCAGTGACATGGGAATTAAAAAAACCCAAACGAACTACTTGGAAAGTGAAGGACTTACCTGTAAAATTCTTATCGTTGGTCCCATCTCCTTATTATCCCGACTTTATACTTCATCATGCTTGATTCAAATGTAAGATTTCAGACACTCTGTGTGCTCGGAGAGCCGCATACCATACAAGAATACCAGGCATAGGACCCCTCTCATAGTCTGGAAGCAGTTTTCTAAACTTCACAATGTTTCCTCAGTTTTAGAGGTAAAATGAAAAGGACTTGCATCATCCTGTGAAGGTAGACAGCAATGTTTGCTCTGGAGGACGTTTCATAGAGACAATTTCATAGCTGAGATTTTTGCTTGATGTGTACAAACTTCAGGATAGGAGCCTAGATTTCAAAGGATGTAGTCGGATAATGCTTTCTGGTGGATTTGGACACATGGATAGCTCTCAAATGTCTGAACTTCAAGAGATATCTTCTTTGTGAGGACTCAAGTTCTGATTGGTGGCCCTAGAGGTAATGGTCCTACCATCCAGGTGTTTAGCACCTCTTTAAGAATTTTAATACTGCTAGAGCTGTTGTATAACATGTTATCTTTTTGTTGTAGCCTCAGTGGAAGGAGCTCCACAGCTAAACATGGTCGGTCTCTTTCAAAGAATTATCGCTACAGAGGGAATCCGAGGACTTTATAGGGGCATAGCTCCTAATTTTATGAAAGTGCTTCCAGCTGTCAGCATCAGCTATGTTGTATATGAAAAAATGAAGCAGAATTTGGGAATAGCATGAAGTGAAAGAAAAAGGTGAGATGCTTCTAATGTTGTTGGGAACATCAGAACAAAAATGATTTCTTAAGTAATCTGCTCTCACAATTAGAGACAGAACTTTGTGGAGATGCTGCAATTTCTACTTTTGCCCTCAAGTGGGAAGAAATTTTCTTAAATTCTAGTTCACCATTTGTAAACAGATACCTATATTGCACTTTAAAATGTCACTGCGTTTCAAGAAAATTCAAGAGACTATCTTTAAATCATCAATATGTTTATATTTTCAAGAAATCATGCATATCTTACTCATTGACCTTTTTTTTTGTCTTCTCTAAATGTGTATTTGGCTTGGATCAAACCCAAGGTAGGAGAAGTTTATACTGCCTTGATACTGAATTTATGAAAGTGACTTCTTGTTTTGTCATGCTGCCTATTGTCAAGCAATTCACAGGCAACATTTTGCACGTCTAGAAGTACGCACTTACTATTGTTATTTTTGAAGACTTATTGTTAAGTTCTTTAAAAAAAAATAAAATAGGATCTTAGATACAGCCAAGGATGGAGCAGCACATTAAAATGTAGCCCACCACCTCTATCTTCAGGTTAACCTTTTCCATTACTACTTTTTTTTTTTTTTAATTTAAAGAATAAGAGCCTGAGAAAGTGCTGTTCTGTGGTATCAGAATACCTCAAGTGGATTTACACGGTATTTTCGTAATACAATCAGTGATTTTCATAACTTGCTTCACTGGACTCTTGCACTTGTAAACGTTAGCACCGTTAACCTTACAAACCTTGGGTTACAGCTTCACGTTTTATAGGATCACGCTAGACAGGAGCAGAGGAAGCTTGGTTACTAGATCCATTCCATACAAGTGCAAGGTGCCCTTTAAAAATGCGACAGCGGGTCCAGTACTAGGCTGACAGTGATTTTAACGCAGCTAACAGCAGCGCTTGTCATAGCTGACGTGGGGAGAGAAATGCTTCTCATTTTGGACTCTCCATTCTTTGCCTCGCTTAGAGGGCTGCAGTATGCTGTGTGCTTTTAGCCAATAGAGGAATGCCTTGTGATGAAAAGGTTTTACAGGTTTGTCTGCAAAAGAAATACTCTTTCCGTCACAGTCTTCTGTGCACGCTGGCTGCATGTGTGAAATCCAGAAAATACTGAAGCATTTTGTCCAAGTGACCGAATGGGGCTGCTGATCTCAGGCGCCCTTCAGGTTGATGTTAATGAAGCCATCAAAGCGTGCACACAGAGCTTGGTAGTGCTTGAGCAACAGCTCCTGCTCAGAAAAAACAAGCAGCACTTCCTCAATGCAGAAAGTTACGTATTTCCGGGTACACAAGTACTCCCAAAGTGACTTCCTTTTTTAGGGGAGTGGGGGTATGCTGCATTTCAGTTGCCTTCAGGCCTGAACACTCAAATAGAGTAACAATTATTGCCAAACTCACTTGTTACGCTTTTTTTGCTTTCTGCGATGTGTGGTGTCTTAATCTTTGAGATTATACTTATCTTGACCTTCTAGAAGCAACTGCTCTTAGACCACTTTCTGAAATTGGATTGCTGAAGGAAGAATTTTGTTTCTGTAAGGTCGTTAAGGGTCTCTTTTTTTTCTTTCTTTCTTTTTTCTTTTTTAAACAAATAAGCAAGCAGACATGAATAACTGCCTGAATCTCCCCAGTTCCACATATTATTTGGGCCAATATTTTTCAGACAGCGATCAGATGTAAATCTGTGTTCAGTGCTTCCATGGCTAGTGTATATTTTCCTTAAACTAGAATATAACTACTCCATAAAATTTGTGTTACAAAATGCTGGTTTATCAGATTTCAGAGAATGGCAGCTTTAGCTGTGTCTTTTGGCCTTTCGCTTCAGGGAGACCTTGGACTTTGCACTTCTTCTAAGAAACCAAAAAGTTGTTCTTTCCAAATCATCCATATGTAGAGTCATAGAATTGTTGAGGTTGGAGAAGACCTCTGAAATAACCGATTCCAGCTATTAACCTGGCGCGTACAGTGGCACGTGTACAATGCCTTCCTGATGGGAATGTTTTTGCCAACATTCTTGTATCTTTGTGGGATTTGCGAGATGAGTTCCCAATCATTTTGTTTGACTGTGACCAATGAGCAAATGTATTGCATGTGTGTGTGTGGTGTGAAGCTGACTTTGGCAGCGTCTATCTTCGAGACTTGCTCCGTTTTGTTTATAGTGTGCAAGTGCCATTACAAGTCCTGAGAATTACGGTGTTGATGTTTTCAAATGTTGAAAAGATGCGGTCTTTCAAATTTCATTTTTCATTATGTGCCTTTATGATGACTGTGTTCAGCTGTGTATTCTTGGTCTCTTAAACATATGTTTACCTTTTTAGTTCGATAAAACTGCCAGTTTCTAATAAATGTTTGTTTCCTTATCTGGCTTAAGTGTGCTGATTTTTTTTCATGGCCTGATAGACAGATGACACTTCTCCAGTGTGTTAGAGGCATAGTACTCTGTCAAAAATGCAGTTAACGGATCTAAATATAAATCTGAGACTAGCTGACACTTTGCTGTTACATCGATATTTGAAAACCTAGTTTGACGTTAGTCAGTAATCATCCTGTTAAAAACTTTAGCTGTCGCCACTTAACGGAAGATTACATAATGTTTAATATTTTTAATTGTTTATTGAACATGGTTTGCTTCTGTATATGCTGTGTGACAGAACTCTTAATGATCGGCACAAACAAGCTTGCTTTTTTTCTTAATGCCCGTCTTGCTTGATGTTAATCTTACTTGTTAGTCAAAGGATCAATATGAAATCTTGTCAGGGTAATTGACTTAATTTACTTTGCGTGCATAGCATGGCTATCCTACTAAAAGCATGCTTAGTTGCCAACTTTGACCACTGAGACTGAGTTTTTCACACCAATCCTTCAAAAGTTGAAGATAATTGTAAACAAATGAAGGGAGGCTTTTCTTGTCTCTAATTCCTGCAAGTACAGTTCTTGTAACACAGAGTTTAGACATTTCCTTTTAAATAACGAAGAGGTAGATGCTCAGTGTGTGATTCCTGACTAAATGAACTATCTGACATTCAAGTCTGCTGGAGACAAGGATGCTTTAAACTGGAAATTCTTTGCAATTGGAAAGACTGGGCTGTGGATGATCTCTTTTGTGGCGATCAAGGTAAGGTGTGATCTCGAAGATGCTCCCCCCATCCCCTCCAAAAAGAAAATCTAAACCGCTACAAAAGTTAGCACCAATATTGAAAATATTGCTTTCAAAGATAGCCTGTTGGGAAACGGAATTCTGGGAGTATTCCTTTTATTAAAGACTGGCCCTGATAAGATGCTTTTCTGATGTGTAGGAGTTATTATACAGGCAGCACACATGATGTTTGGCTTTTGAAAAGGCTCGTCGGACCCGCAATGCACATAGTACTGTTATTTTGAACAGCTTGCACTTTTTTTTAAATTCTTCCCCTTCTGATGTCTGAGTTGTCTTTGGGATGGCTTTTAAGGCTTACATGAAAACAAGATACGGATCGAACTGTATGCTGAGGAGAACGTAATTGGTGAGAGATGGATATTCAACACAAAAAGTGATTTTGGAACGTTGTCGGTCTTGCTGTGTGGATTTAGTTCTAGCTTCTAAGCCCTCCTGATATCTGAAAATGTGTAGAAAAATTGGGTGGGGTTTTTTTCCCCAATGTTTGCAATTCAGAGTAAAATTACAAATTTGTGTTCTGACAGCTACCTAAATGCAGGAGTATTGTGCACCTAAGCTCTTAGACTTTGAATCTGTTTTGCTAAAGGGTTAGTGAGGGAGTCTAGTGTGTGCTATATAGGTATGTAAAAACCCCCATAGCGTGTATACACACACATACAGACATAATCACATAAATCTACATACAAATAACACCTCTTCTTCTCGGTGCTAACTTTGTGCATCTCCTTCGTGCAGTACCTGGAGCAGCTTCCAGACTGGCCCTTCAATTGAACGCTCAGGAAGCAGTGAAACTGCTCTCCCTGCACACCTCTCCTCTGCACGCTGACAGTATGAGATGCGGGACGAGTAGCCACCAGATTCTCTTAAATAACGTGTTGCTAGTACTCAAACTAAAATCCAGAATGCTTTTGTCCCCTCTGGGCTCGTGTAAAGCCATCCTGTTGAAATAAGCGTAGGCAGAAGACACGGATCTGGAAGCTTTCCCTCGAAAGTAAATGCTGGATATTTTTTAATTGTTACCAGCTTGTGTTGTGCATGAACCTGTCTCTCCCTGGAGAGCCTTAACAGCTCCTCTGGTTTGCAGCGTCTGGAGGGAATGTGCGGATTCGGATTGAACTCGAGTAGTGCCATCTACTGTCCTGTTGTAATACTGATTTGTAAAGGGGAATAGCTTTTCTAGGCAGAGTATTTGAGTTAATTCCTTGGAGTTATCTTTACAGCAAAGGAGAAACAATTTATAACAGCACAGGATAAACCCGTCTAAGTTGTCTTTTTAGTAGAGATTGTGGCGGTGTGACCTAACGAATGTGTGGGAGCAGTGCACTTGAGTGTGAATTTTAGAAAAAGCAAGAATCATCATCTCTGCTATGGGGGTGAGGTATTGAAAGAATCCATACTGCATATTGACATGTAATTTGAAATAGAAGATAGAGTCTCTATAATGTTGTTTTCTTTCTGCTTTCATAAAATTATTTTTGTGTGCCAACACTCTTTAGTTTCTTAGTAAGATATGGTAGCATGGAGGATAAAGGTTCTTTAACCGTTCTTACCAGCATATTAATAAAAAGTGGTTGGTGTATATAAACCTACCTGATTGTTTTCGAGGAGTAAAAATGCTATCTTGTATTTCATTATTTCTAATTATGTGGCTACCCTGATCAAGATCCCTTGGGAGATGTGGAAATCCAGTAGGCTGTTCATGTATGTCCGTGGAAGAAGGGATTTGTGTGTACAGCAGTGGTAGCTGGGCAGTTTGCACAGGCCCAGCTTTCTCTGAACACATTTGTGCTTTAGCACCTTGACTTCCATGTTCAATCCTTGAATTATTTCTTTATTCTTTTCAGTATCTTTCGTTATTTTGGGAAAGCAGACATATACTTGAGCGGAGTTTAAGTACCACTTTGCTATGGGAACTATTGAGTCACAGTTACCGCGAGGAGAGGGTCTCTGTGTTGGCATGTTCCTGCAGCCTTCCCTGTGCTGCAGCACCGTGTGTGACACGGGCTGGGGATGAGGCCGTTCTGCTTTCCCTAGTTAAACAAATTCCTTAACTTTGGCTTGCCGT